GGGAAGGGCCGGTACCAGCAACAACTCCGACGACAGCCAACATAATTTTAGCGTAAGTATCAAGCCCGCCTCCGGCACGGATAATTAAATCGCGGTAATTACTGACTCCAAAGAGGACTGCCAAGCCATCACCGCACCAATTACGACTCCAAGCGGTGGGTACAGGAGCTGATAATTATAGTACACATGCGGGTGGCCGCTACGAACTATAAATACCGCGCAATTTGTGCATGTCTCACCCCATTCTGCGGTTACCTACGATTAAGGATTCTCGAGAGAATCTGAAACTTCAGGCAAATAAAATTCTTGTTCCAGTGAGCGCTTCTTCTACCTCTTAACTGCTTCCTGGAACTCGCATATTTGCTTCTATCGACAATCAGTACCATTTTTGTTAACACTGAAGACTAAAAGCATTGTCGTGCGTCCCAATTGCAGTCAGACAGCATAATCGTTCCCGGGGTGTAATTTCAGCGCGCCTGAGAGCGTTCAATGTGAGGCTGGATGATTTCAAAGTGTAAGTGTGTTGATCAAAGGTGCCTTGGCAGTCGGTTTTAGGTACCCTTCCATTACAACTTAAGATTTCATTTGTGCTTTAGGCAATTATAGGCTATGTTATCCCTCTGAGCTATTCTGAGGTCCAGAATCCCGAAAAACGGCAATGGTGGGATGGTAATGTTGAGGTCTTGCAGCGGAGAAGCAGCGATATATGTGCAGCAAAACATAGGTCACTTTTCGCCAAACATATAGCAACAAAACTGAGAGTGATAGTAAACAAAATAACAGAAGATCAACTCTCAATAGAGGAAGTTGATAAACCAAAAATTCAAATGATACAACTTTGTGCGGGTTATTATATGAAAATAGCAGTTAACACACAGAAGGTTACTGAAATAATAAAGCAAACCAGACCATGCTACGCACTCTACCCCCAGAAAGGCTCATATAACCCATCCTTACCACGGTTTACATATTTCAATTCAAAATAAGCCTTGTTCAGATTCGCCTATTGCATGATCCTTCGTATCCCACGTCACATTCTCCACTGACCGCAAGCTACTAAATGGATGAACGTTATATGGGCTTCTAAGTGACTGTAAAGTGCCAATAGAAGTGAAGATCCGGCGCTTACTTATGATTAAGGCTTCGCGACAGAATCCGAGACATCAAAAAAATCAAACTCTTGTTCCAGTGATATCACCTATCTTCTTCTGACTGTACAGTACGGCTCAGAATTCGTGCAACATGCAGAAATTTGCGAAAGATTTATACTCACTCGCTTATCGTCAATGAGTAAGGTTATAATACTGACTATCCTGTAGCCTATTGCCAAGTCATTTCATCCACGATAGGATGCTAGCTCTTTAACAAGCTTCTTTCTGTCCACTAACATAAAGTACGTACTGTAAAAAAATAACCACTTAAGAAGTATGCATTTTTATCCTTTATTTTTTACTGCCCTTATAAATACAAATATATGTTAGAGAAAACATGCGCTAAAAAAAATCTTTCTTGTTCTCGTTTAGTAGCAAATTACGCCTTCTTTAAATATTATACTTAAAGAAAGGGTATAATTTTGTTTTGAAAAGCATCTAATTATGAAAATTTTTACGATTGTGAGGTGTTCATTCAGAATACACCATATCCGTCAATTGATTGATGCTGCCTATAAAGTGTGCATCATAATCTACATCTATTGTAACATCTTATAAGAACTATGTAACTTCATCTTTAAAACGTTGGCAAAAAATATTTTCCCTTAAACAGCGCGCAGTTTGTAAACCTTGAATTCAGGTGTAGCAGTCGGTAGATTTCAAAATTATTCGGCAATTTAGAAACTTTTGACACCGAACATAACAATTAAAGAAGGCGTAATTTACTGCGAAACTAGTAAAAGAAAAACAATTTCGTGCACGTTTTCCACAAAATATATTCGAATTTATAAAGGCAGTCAAAATCAATTATGAAAACGTATACTACATAAGTAGCCTTTTTTTACAGTACGTACTCTTTGTTAACTGTCAGAAAGAAGCTCGTTAAAAAACCCAGCATCCTATCGTGACTGAAATGACTTGAGAATAAGCTACATGATAGTCAGTATTACAACCATACTCAATACCGATTAGCGAGTGAGTATCAATCTTTCGCAAATGTCGGCATGTTGGACGGATTCTGAGCCGCACTGTACTAGTGCTCAAACATGCAAGGGACATCGAATGCGCTATTTAAATGCTATCTAACCCCAACCGTGTTCCACTTGGCGGCACCCTGCTACAAGTGCAGTCCTTATAGAGAAATCGATCTTCTCCAGCGAATCACAAATTATTTACCTGTCCAGGGCAGGTTGAATTTCCATTAGCTTGAAGCCAAAGTACAGCTACGGCGGAGAGGCAAAATGAGGAGGCAGAACCGACACCAGTGAGTTGGTTCATGCCTTTTACTTTCATTCAACGGTAGGAAGATAGCCAACGGATAGAAATGGTAAAGGTTCATGCCACACAACTGACAAGTCACAAGTGTGATCGGAAATAAAAAGAAAAACTATGCATAGAGAATGGCTGTTCAATACTAGGCTAGGAGTGGGGCAGAAGAAAGAAGGAAAGGCGTAACAGGAGAAGAGCTGGACTAAAAAGCGATTTCAGAAACGTTCTCAACCTGAACATCCTTTTGGCGTGACGAGGCTCGGGGCCGAATACAATTCAGAAAGACGAAGAGCAAGAAGCCTGTGAAGGAAAGGCACGCAGCCAGGAGCATCGCCGGTGTGTAGGTGGCGAAGACATCAAAGATGTGACCTGAAAAGAAACACAGAGACAGCAGTTCAGCCCTGCTCTCTATAACCCGTCCTTAGAAATGATGCAGTCTTAAGAAGAAAAAAGCCCATCATCAGAAAATGTAGGTGTGCTCATTGAGGTTCATATACGGCGAGAAAGTCAGCGGATTGCCCACCAGTTGAGGTGTATGGTTAGTGCAGATGGAGTGTTTAGCTTAAGAGATCATGGTAGTGGTCACAGAAATGCGCTTTTTTTGTGTTCGCTGACCGACTATCCTTCGTCAAAGCATAAACCGCGATTATCGATCAGCAATTTGAAGGTGTGGCTGTAATTGTCGGGCGCGGGTTGATCGATATTTATCTTGTTAGCGGCCTTGCCCCTCAGTGTGGACTGTGACATATTTTGAGGGAAAGTGGTGTTTAGTTTCGTCTCCACGGTGGAGAGTGCGGGTAATCCTGCTTCCGCTTCCGATGGGTTCATCGTGGGGCCGTCTTCGCTTGTATTTCCTAAGTTCAGTTGGACGTGTCTCTTCCCTACGGAGTTGGCATCTGAGTACTATGCCTCAAGCGTCAATTTTTTAGCTTTTGAGGCGCCTCGGCCTACGATGGTCGCCAGTCTCTTCAACATGTATTGCAAACTGCGAGTTTGGGTCTAGTTCCCGAGCAACCAGTTTGTGTTCGTGTAGGCGGGTCACCTGTTTCTCCAATATAGTTGCGGTCTCCATCGTTGCAGTCTATCTTCTAGACAACTACGGAGGTCTCAGTAGGTGGCAGTCTGTCTTTAGGTTGTATCTAATGGCGGCGTATTGTCGGCTATGTCTACCGCAGCGGATTGTAACAGTCGAGAAACTGCTTCGGAGACTCCTGTCCTGACCCTCCAGATTTCGGGTAATTGCTTTATTAGCCGTCGTTTATTTAGTTGGCGCTTGCTTTCTTTGAGGAAAGAGTTTGGGTATCTATTAGCTCGAAAAGATCATGAAGGTATTGGCGTTCCGCTGTTCTGTTAGCTGGTGTGCTGCAATGTGTTTCAAATCTTGTGAAAAGAGTACGAAGAAAGCTACGTTCGTGGGACAGGGGGTGATTACTATTGAGAGGTAGTATTTGCTCTGCAAAGATGACTTTTCTGAATACTGTAGTTTGCAGTAGTCCAGTTGAATACCGGTGCACAAGGACATCGAGGAAGGGGAGTTGGTTATTTCCTCCAGCTTTCATCGTGAATTAGATATTCGGGTCAACCAAGTTCAGTAATTCTTTGAGATGGCCAATTTCAGAAGTTTTGCCAATGACGAAAGTCCGAAGAGGAATTGGCAAGCATATGTATACTTTCAATAAATTCTCATC